CTTTAACCCTTTCACGGCCGGGGTCGCCCGGGCAAACAAGGTGTGACCCGGGCAGCCCGGCTGGTAGACTAGGCTGGTCAATGCTAAAGACAAGTTCTATGGGTTTTGATATAGTCCTCAGCTCAGGGAGAGAGGGTTTCCTATTCCCATTAGGTTTGCAGAAAGAAGGAAGTACTCTATGCGGGAGCACGTTTGTGTGATCGGCATGATTTTTCTTAAACTACTGAAAGTCTGAAAAGGCAATTTTAGGTGGGTAGAGGACAGAGAAAGGACGAAGTTCGCATACATTATCAGCTCTTTGACGAGATCTGCTTCGTGTGATGACTGCATGGTGATAGCAGTGGGATAAGTGAAAATATGAATTGTGGATGCATCTGGCCGTTTTCCATACCCTCATTCTGCGCATAGATGTTGATTAATCTGAGTTCCTCCTCATTTCCACTTCCCAGTCCATCACGCACCATCTCCCACTGTCCTCATCTGCGTCGGATATACTGACCGAACCATCCTTGTAGGACTTTTTGGGGAATAAGAATTGCGGTCACTTTTTGGCGCCTTGTGGGATCAGTGGGCCAAGGGGAAAAGAAGAAGAAGAAGAAGAAGAAGAAGAAGAAGAAGAAGAAGAAGAAGGGGACACAACCCTTGAGAGACTGCTCTGTCGGCAGCAGCAGTTTCTGCATTAGGAAACTCCAGGGTCCAAGTTGATGGGGATGTGCAGTACAAGCCAGAAGGGACACAACCCTTGGGCCAAATACAGACGCAGCGAAAATGCAAGCTTTGACTTATCGGGTGAAGACGGTAGCAAGAACTGTGTCACCAAAGAAGGTAAATGCGGAGCTAACAAGCCACCACTTCCATTGGGGATGTGCACGTTCTATTCCGGCGAAGCACCAACTTTCAGACCAGATGCAGATGCAGCGAAAATGACGGCACATTCTATCCGGGTGAAGACGGTAGCAAGAACTGTGCTTGCACAATCACACACCTTGCCACCACTTCTGCATTAGAGCCAGAAGTGAAATAATTCCCAAAAGCGAATTATTTCACTTCTGGGATTAATGTGAAATCATTCCCGGAGCCTAGCTTGGAATTCTACACGTTTTTGCTCTACAGAGCCTGAAGCACCTTTTCTATCAATAGGTAATCCTGACGCATCAGCCGTGGGTTTATGGCTATAAGAATTGAGGGTTTGGGGGTTTAAGATTGATGATTTAGACGTACGGATATTGATCACTTACGTCCAAGGAGTAATCTTTGAGGTCGGGAGAGGGGGAGGGGGGAGGGGGGGAGGGGGGGAAGGGGGGGAGGTTGGGGTTGCCAGGGTTTTGGGCTCAGGCTTAGGGTTTAAGGTTTCACTTTTTTTTTTAGGGCTTGTTCAAGATTAAGGTTGTGGGTCTTGAGGGGTTTAGGGTTTAGGGTCTTGGATTTGCAGGCTTTAGGGTTTAGGGGTTTTGCCGCATACTTTTCAGGACCACAAACTGACAGTGGAGAAGCAGACAGTATCTCACACTTTCAGCATCAATCATGTCCTGAAGCGGTCCAATAACAGTATATGTCTAAACAGAGGTACCAGGCTGTGGTCCCATAACAGTATATGTCTAAACAGAGGTACCAGGCTGACAGGGGACCACACAAGTGTCACCGGAAAGGTAAACGCGGAGCTAACAAGCCAACCCACAGCCGTACGATGCACTACTCACAGGACTTCACAGAGATGCTACAGCAGACTCTCTCCAAGCTCTTTCATAGTCGCATCGCATAGCTGGGACAGTCTCGGCAGAGTCCCGTGATGTGGCACTTTGAGGACACTAAAGACACGTCAGAAACTTAGTCCCTCACATCTGAATGAAAGACGACGCAGACAACTATACCCATCCATAATAACTTTTTTCTCACATGCTCTTGGCGACGCCTCAAACCTGCTGTTCACAAGCAGGCTGCAGTCGATAAGGAGATTACACACGCATGGAAAAAACATAAGAAGAAGATGATTAGTATCATATTGCGTACATCATCTCCCCCTCCACACACTTCCTCGACGATTTTCCCCGCCCAGGAATACTCACCCCTTCCACTCAATACGCCACTCAGATTAAGGCTGCAGTTGTTCATTCTCTCGTCTTCGGTAGGGCGGCATGCATCATTTGAGTTGGGGAAAGTGCCAATGATGACCTGAGAAGCCTCTCATCACACACATATACATATTACTCAAAATCTGGAAACCTACAAAGTTCCGCACCATCCAGAAAAGGAAACAAACAGACATCGCCCCCTAGCAGCACGACGCCGGTTTGGAGGGGGTGGGGGGTGGGGGTGGGGGGGGGTGGGGGGGGGAGAAGACACTACGAAGCAGGCCCCTGCTGACGCTATGTTTCTGCTAAGCTGCCGTGCACTTTCGTGGGGTGAAAGACGACCAGCAGTTCATTGCCCATGACTTTCTGTAGCGGCATCCAATGACAAAGCCTAGGCTGCGCAGCAAGCTTACACATAGTTGGCTGGCCTTAGCGCAGCAGTGGAGAAAGTGAGATACCATGTCTAAAAAGACAAGAACAACACCCGGCCCAAAATTACCATGAGGGGGTGTGAAAAGTGTGGGTCTAGGAAATTTGAAGATACCATATCCTGTCGTTCAGGACATCTGTTAAAATTGGAACAATACCGAGAAGGAAGATTAGCAAAGATTAGCATGGCCCCTGCACAAGGATGGCCCGCATAAGCCGAGAAATGGTCCAAAAAACTAAGGAAAAAAAAAAAGAAAGATTCCTTATCCAAAAAAAAAAAAGTAGATTTTTACTAGATTCCTTATCCAAAAAAAAAGTAGATTCCTTATCCAAATAAAATAAAAAAACAAGATTCCTTATCCAAAGAAAAAAGAAGTAGAAGAAGAAGAAGAAGAAGAAGAAGAAGAAACCATATCCACACTGACTGTGTGAAAGGTACAGGAAATCAGGTCTCTCCGACAAACAAGAAAATGAGGCCAACAGGAGAGTGCCCTCACAGACAGTACGTCCACAGATGGCACTGCGCCTTAGAGTAGCAGGTTTCAAGGTGTATCGCGGTGTCGACCGGGGAAAGTGATCTGCCGGCCAGCGGATCTAACCCTGTATCTCTGACTGTGCGCCGGGGGCGCGCGCTGATTCACTTTCCCCGGCTCCAATCACGAACTTCAATCCGGCCGAACACACTCAGAAATTGAATTTTAGTCCTTAGTTCTCATCTCTTCAGAGGAAGTAAAGGGTGGCATAAGGCTTGGGCCGCCCGACAGCGGACAGTTACTCAGTGACATATAGTACCACATCAGACGTAGGTGTACAGCTCCAAGCGTCCAAGTCCTTCGGCCTCTCGCTCGCTAATCCACTAGTCTATTTTATTAGGACAAAAACAATTTAGGAGGGTAGGTTTCACACATAGGCATAGGTACAGAAGTATGCAGCTAGAGTACCTTCCCCGTGGCCGAATTGTATGACAACTCCCTCTTACTAGAGAGATTTTTACACAATGAAATTTCAGACAGCACGTGGCAGATCTGAAAATTTCTAGATCTGAAAATATATGAATACCGCATGGTAACACCTGAACGTGACCGAGACCGAGCAGACCAAACCAGACCAGACATGAGAGAGAAACAACTTACCCGCGGCGTTGACAGCGGTGGTCTGGGAGCCTCCGGGGCAATGCGTTTCCTCTTGGACTGTGGTGAAGGGCCGATCCCGCCACTGTCGTAGAATGTGTGCCGCTTACGCTGCCGATATGCATCACTCAACATGATGATTCTCTCTTTGAGCAACTCTTCTCCTCAAACGATTCTCTCTTCACAGTCTCTCTCTCTCTCTCTCTCTCTCTCTCTCTCTCTCTCTCTCTCTCTCTCTCTCTCTCTCTCTCTCTCTCTCNTCTCTCTCTCTCTCTCTCTCTCTCTCTCTCTCTCTCTCTCTCTCTCTCTCTCTCTCTCTCTCTCTCTCTCTCTCATGCACACACATATGCTCACACACGGAACAGGAAAACAAAAACGATATGTTGCTCTTCAACCGTCCACAGACTTTGTCCGGTGTTTCTCTGAATCCTGCACCAAAGAGGTTCCGAACGCACAGAAAGAGCATAAGTGAGCAGCAAGAAGGATGCCAAACAACATCACAAATGAAGCCGATGTGTGAAGCAACCCAACGATCACAAGGTGCACAGCTACGCCTCAGTCATCAATCACAACTTCGTTCACTGGCCTTGAGCGTGAGACGGACTAACTAAAGTCCGCCGATTTAGGCTCCTATCAAACCTACCAAAAGGAACTTGGAACATTCTCTCCCATCCTTCCTCCCATCAGATTCCCCATCAGATTCCCCATCAGATTCCCCATCAGATTCCCCATCGTTGGTCACCACAGACAGGTCACCATGCGCTTGGAAGGGCATCCAGCACTCATACGACTTTCTCTTTTCGTTCCTTCTCTACAAAGGGTGACGGTCTTCAGATATCATGATTAAACTGATCGGCCTGAAAGTAATTCAGAATTATTGTTATTCTGGTGGTTATCTGATTGTATCTGGATTCGAATTTGGGTCTGATTCATATTTCACCAGTTCCTGGGGGTACCAACCGAGCTAGGCCCGCTGGTACTCGTACGGCTTTCTCAAAACAGCGAGTGAACAGGTCTGCTCGAAGGCATCCACATTGCTACACACAGACGATTTGCTTGAAGACATCAGTCCCGTAGATAATACACATACAACTTTCTCGATGGCGGACTAGAGAATTTGACACACACGTCCCGTAGACATATTACGCCTCACAGACCAAAACGACACCAACGACACACTTGAGGAGAATAGGCACGAGCATACAAGATGAACACACACACGAAGACTGAGAAGAGCCAAATTGGACTCCAGGTCCCACACCCTTTCCTCCCCACATTTCTCCCACCCCTGAACTGAACCTCCGTCAAATCAGAGTCACATACATCAGTTACGACCGTAATGCAATGACAAAAACAGGAGTTAATTAATATGCCTCTATTCAAAGGACAACATCTGCCCACAGGATATCCCTCGGGGCATCCTACTTTATGCCAGCAATGAATGGGCTACCTTAGGCCAGCAGCACCGGACTATGCAAGGTCCTCCTCTCATGGCATCGTGCTAATTAAGACATTTATTTAACCAACCGGGACCTGGCTTCTTACGACCAGTTTTTCAGGTCCTCGAGTTCTGTCTCGGGCTGAACCAGAGGCCTCGGAGCTCTGCATGGGCCTAGCCCAGACGGGTCTGCGCGCGCAGGACCTAACCAGTCCAGACTTTGACATCCCTATTTGGACAACCTTTTTTTCCCATATTATTATTTTATTATATGGATTTAAACCACCAGTTACTTCTGAGTGAACGCCTTTCACTGCAGATCCCGGAAACGCCCTAAGCAGCAAAAAAAAAAAAAAAAAAAAAGCCGGCGTGTCCCTTCTTCCGGCTGGTTCTGCCAGCCATTGTCTCCGGTACGCCGCCCCCTAAAACTTGCCATGCACATGCAGCCACGTCAAAGGAAAAATGGCTGTCAAACGTACTGGTGGTTTAATTCCCACCTTACCCCATTTACCCGTTGTTTAATTCCCACCTTACCCCATTTACGGGACAAGGGCTGCATCCAATGGAGAACGGGTGGTGCAACCACCACTACCCTCTTCCCCCAAACACAACACACGGCAGTAATTCCAGTTTAGGGCATTTTCTATTACAGGTATAAGGACTATGATCACGATAAGTTCGGGGAGAAGACGGTAGTGCCTGCCACCCTCACTTTCTTGCCCGGACCCACTTCTTTGATATCTTGGGGGTGATTGCATCCAGACCCTTGGTGCACATATTTACATTATTTGCACAGAATCTGGATGTGTTTGAAATCAGGTACATCCCAGACAGTCGTATGAGTATCCAGACCCTTAGTGCATCTTGCATAAGCTGCCTCCAAATGTCCACTGCTTCGAGGAGAGAAAAACATACGACAGTAAGAGCAACATGGCCAGAGAGATCGATGGAGAGAGGGAGGGAGGGAGGGAGGGAGGAAGGGAGGGAGGGAGGGACGGAGGGAGGGAAGGAGGGAGGGAGCGAGGGAGGAAGGGAGGGGTGGAGGAAAAAGTGAGCACTCTGCACAAGCTGCCTCCATAGGTTCACTGCTTGGGTGAGGGAAAAACATACAACGACGACAGCAACATGGATGGAGCAATGGATGGATCGAGGGAGGGAGATATTGAGGGAGAGAGGTAGGGAGGGTGGGAGGAGGAGTGAACGGTGGCCGCCTAGGATGAATTGAACGGACGAATAAATCGGATGGGATGAATTACACGACTGGATGAATGTGATGGATAGGAGACCACGAATGGATCGAAAATGGGTAGGATGGAAATGGGTTCAATGACGTATGAGATGGATAAAGAAGAGAGAGAGAGAGAAGGGCGGGGGGGGGGGRGGGGGAGAGAGTGGGAGAGAGAGAGAGACAGTGGTATGAATGGGTAGGTAGAAGGGATGGGAAAGAAGGTTAGGTGGGGAGGGGTGACATGTGATGGGTAGTATAGAATATATAGATATATAGATGGGATGGAGAAAAGAAGAGAGAGTAGGGAGCGATAGAGGTGACAGACAATCGTGATAAAGTTGGGAATAATTTTGCCTGTCAAGTACTTAGTCTCCGCGATGAATTTCACCCAACCGCCCATCCAGAAAAGGGAGCGGGGGGGGGGAGAGCAGACAGAGACGCAGAACGAAGGAAAAGGCATCGCTACCTCCCCCCCCCAACACACACACACACACACACACACACACACACACACACACACCGAGAAAAGGGACTCGTATGGAACAGATCTCATTTGCCCAGTCAGCATCACCGGGAAAAGAGTCGTAACAGAACCAAAGCAAACGGAGGGTATAACAGATAAAAGCACAGATGTCAGCAAAAGGTAATGGTGGGTGATATAATTCTCATCTTTTACTGCTACAGGATTATGACGAGTGATATTCAAAAGCCTCTGGGTGCAATTGTTCGACCAAGGAACCGCCAACAAGAAGCTGCACTGACTGCCTCTGGGCATATTGACATCGGAATTTCCCAACCGGATGCGGTTGTGATTGCGATCAGATCCGTCTCATAGAGTCCTCTTCCCTAAAAGGAGGAAACCGAGGTCACAGTCAAGAGGTCACGAAGCAAAGGAGTTCGTTTCCCCACTTTACTCTTCTTCTTTCCTGACAAAAAAGGCTCTTGGCTCTCCATACTCTACCCTTCCTCTTTCCTAAAGACCCCTTTTTTTGTCTCCGGCCTCTGGCCAAGTGGAAGTCGGTGACCATCATGAGCAAATGACAGTCGGGGCGGAATGAAGATGATGACTTGGAAGCCCCCTCTTTGCCCCCCCCCCTCCAGTTCTAGCTCTCCCCTGTGCTCTGCACGTCTTGCCACCCCTTGCTGTTTCCTTTTACGAAAATCGATAAATTAAATGGAATTCTCGAAAGCACTGTTTCCAACAAGGTTCGAACTGTGGATTGATTGGTTCTCATGGCGGTTCGTGGTGCATGGGGGACGAAGGGGGGAAACGACCAGG